ATATATATTATAAGTGAAAATGTATTTTTTAACATTTTTAAAATCTTCTTTCAACCTTTTTCGTCACTAAAGCAAGGGCTCCAAACCGTTATCAGACCGTGGTTTTTCGTTTAGGTAAAAGTCAACGATAACAACAACAACAACTATTATTATTATGGTTGTACACATCCTTTTTTTTGTGTAAATAATCCTAATGTATTTAAATGTTGTCCCACGTTCAGTGTTTGATATTTAAATACCGTTAAATACATGATTATAAAACGTGGTCTTGTATGATTTTTTATCTAGTATATATATATACATTTTATTTTTTTTTAACTATACTAAAACTAACTATTATATACTTACGACACGGTATGAAAAATACCAAGTTTCGTAATACTTGACATCTGAAACAATGTACAAAATAATACTAACATTTTAATCCACATATATACTATACTTAATTAAAATCACGATCCGATTAACACACAATATTCCATAACATTTCGTTGATACATTATGTCACTGCACGATTTGACTGAGACGTAGTGTGTGTTTTTTAATTGGTAATGACGTGAAAAAACGAAAAAAAAAAAAAAAAAAAAAAAAAAAAAAAAAAAAAAAAAAAATAGGCACTGCACGTGAAACCATCTGTTCGATATTGCTGGCGTTGCACTGGATGATGCTTTCAATGTCACGGCTATGAGCTTGAGCTACTTACTCTCCTGTCCTTATCGCTGCGACCACACTTTTGGCTATGCTTGCCAAACTAATACAAACAGATATACCTATCAGTGAAAATACCTCTTACTATAGAGGCAAACTGCACTATGATGCAAAAAAAAAAAAAAAAAAAAAGATGCACTTATCGACGCTTGGGGGCGAGAAAAATGCATCTCAATTTTTTCATGAAAAAACTTTTCTCCTCAATAATGTCGACTTTATGGTAAAATTAATGATTATTGCTTATTCTGAGACGAAGTTTGTTAATAGTAAAAATCAATATTATAGTTTTACAGTCACTACCATCCACGTGATCCATCACTTTTTCTCTTAAAAATCGTGAATATTAAGGCTCGCAAAACTATTAATGCAAAAAAAAAAAAAATCTTTTACTATACATCTTCATGAAAACATCAATTAATTATATCTCCACAAGTTGTCTTCTAATCGTATATTAATCTTCCTCCACCCATCCCATCCCGAAAACTCACATTAAACATGCATATGACAGCCAACGAGCCAAGTGTTTCGTTTGTCTCGCAAACGTAGCTCAGTCTGGCAATGATGGATAAGTATTAGCTAACATTGTGCATTTTGTTAACGCATGCAAAAGAGAAAAACAAAAGATAAGACACGTGCACGCATCTGTGTAATCGTCAACAGTTGTTATACATATAGTGTACAGTTGCCTCGAGCTTGCGATGAAAGACCGGAGCTTTCTGTATAATTTTCATACACGCATGTTTCTAGCAGCTTCGAGCCGATGCAGGTAGTTAGAGCGTATATATATAGTACAGGAAAAAAAAGGCAGCGACGCAGTGTGCAAGCGAGCTTGATAGCACTAGAACTGTGTACAACTAATATGAGCTCTAGTTTGATACATCAAAACGCTGTCTTTTTTTTCTTCATTTTTTATGTGAAAGGGTGGCATATTAGAAGAAAAATAGAGGTGATGAGTGCGTAGGATGTATTCATTGAAGATTGCTGTTCCAGATGTGCCCTCGAGTAGCGAATCGACGAGCGACGCTGACTATGGGCCGACGGGTAGCATAGCCGACTCGACAGATGGCCGCAAGGATTGGCAGAGATCAGGTCTTTTTTATTTATTTATTTATTTTTTTTTTTAAATTTGATCCTTGGAATCGTGCATTGACCAAATGTGTCAAACAGGTTCATCGGCGTCGATTCAATCTTGGGCCTCGAGTTTGTCCGCGGACAGCCAGTCGGAGGAGGCTGCCGTGGAGTTCATGAAAAAATTTGTGCCTATGCTGTTCGACTGTCCGAGCAAAATTGACCAGGAGCAGAAAGCCAATTTTGGACAGATGGTTCTGGTGAGTATAGACTTAGATTTTTTTTTTTTTTTTTCATGTTTCGGTCAATTTATCAGTTACTGTATATATCTGTTTAACTTTTTTAAAACGAAAAAAAAAATGAGACAACCTCTACCTACGTTACTGGGTCTGTTTTTGATGGTATCTTTTTTTATTTTAAATCCATCAGATTTCACAAATCATTCGAGCTTATGTTTCTGACCAGGAAAGACAAAATTTTTATTCAAAGTATTTTAGTTATGATTATTATTACTACTATTAGATTTACAAAAAAAATATTTTATTAAATTTTAACTCACACATGGCATTGATCTTAAGTTAGAATAATACGTACAAAAATTAGCTTATGGTTTATAAAATTCTCATACACTATCTGGCATGTATGAATATGCTCTACAAGTATTTACATTTCGGTAATTATATTGTGTACATGGTATTGTAAATGGTAAATTGATTTTTGTTCAAAAATTGTTGGTTGTTGGGAAAAAAAAATAGTTTATGTAAAATATTCTAATCATTACCTTAGCTATGTATTATATAGACTGAACCATCTGAAAATATAATAATTTGTCTCGCAGACGGAACCAGGCCGGATATGGTTTTCAAGGGTAGTAAACGCCAGAAGGGGTAGGCCGTGCGTGACGGAAGAGTCGTTTTACTCCTTGGCCCAACACTTTGCGGTCGCCCTCTTTGAGTGCCACGAGGCTGACGATTTTGCGCCAGCCAAGAGCCTAATGAACATGTGCTTCACGTTTTACCACGAAAGTTCGTAAAATTTGATTGTAGTATTTACTCTCGAGCTTGAAAAATATACAAACGTTTTGCTTTTGCAGTCGAGGTGCCCGGAGTGGAGCCTTATCGCGAGTATTTGTACACGAACCTCCGAGTACAGCCAATATGGTCGTCAATGCGTTTTTGGACCGCGGCTTTCTTCGACGCGGTCCAGTGCGAACGAGCTGCCAAGATTGTGCCTCCAAGGTGGAAATCCGTCGATCGGGAAACTGCTGCGGTCGAGGACAGGAGCTTTCACGCCAACATCGTTTTCGGTCAATTAGGGTGACTATATTTAATTCCCATTGGTTCTCTATACAATTGGGGTGCATTCAGGATTGAATTAAATTTTTAAATCCACTTTCTTCATTTTCAGTACCTTTACGTGCAACATGCATGCTTTTGGATTGCCGAGAAACCTCTGCCTCGAATTTTTAAAGAAACAGTGCACCATTGCCAACTTGACGTCTGGTAATATACTGTTTTGCTGTACATTATTTGTTTTTTGTTTTATCAGTATATTTTATTAATTTGGCAGTCATCGATTTTGCATTGTATCACAGTTGTACAATAATATTGGTGCCACTGAAGTAGTCTTTTGGCATATTTTATTTAACTTCTAAATCACACGTCATGTAACTGAGATATACTTAGCTAATTCTTAGATTCATATGTGTAGCTCGTCAACCAAAATTTCTTATGCTGAATTTTGTATTTTTATTTTGTTATCTCGAAATGCCAATTGTGCTATTCAGAATTTTAAATTAATTAGCATATAAGATTGACAGGTTGTACATTCTGTGAGTCGTTGTGATATTGTACACTAGTTAAGCGTGAATCTCATAAACTACTTAGTCTGTTTAATTTTTATCAGCTGTTGAATGGATAAGTATTAATTTTTGAGCAACATGTTTTTTCTAAAATCTATTTCGTTTTCACTTCCAGATCAATCCAAAATGCTAAAAGACAATATAGAAAGGATGTACGATGAGACTGACCCTTGGAGAAATTGAGAAGCAAACGGCATCCTGAGATCATCTGTGAAAAAAAATTCTCGTTTTGGACGGGTGCTAGGAGCAGCGAACTATTATCCCGAGAGCAGCTAAAATACAATACCTCTCGATTCAACTGTTACATAAGTAATAAGGGAGAAAAAAGAAGGAAAAAAAAAAAAAAAATCACGAGCTTAAAGCTTTAAAAATAAAATGCGACGATCAATCGGACGTGATATATCGACTAGTCAACGCGTGATTGTACTTGTTCTGTTAAGTCGAAAAGATTGTCATGTACGATGGGGTATATTCTAATTAATTAATCACAGATCATCATTTCGAAAGGACCAGACGTGACGGATTTTCGAATGAAATTCATTTGTATTTAAGTATTATACGCGAACCGGAATGATCTATTTTTCTCGATTCGCCTTGTAAATTGCGTGAATACGTTTGCTTATGTACATTAAGAATGAATTAATATATTTTTAAAGAAGAACGAAAAATAGATAGGTGAATATAACTTTGCACAGCCAAGAGAAGTGGGTGATGTGTTGGAGCTCGAAAGTATTAAAAATTTGGGCTTGTGTACATTTTAATTATATTTAAATTCTTCACTTATCAATTATCCAAAGAATGAAGCATCAGCAGCAGAATAATAGGTAGTCCATTCTTTAAGCTTCCTCTATGAAATTTACCAGTTGAACTAGCTTCTTACTTAAAAATGTTATCTCTCGTAAGGTATGAGTGATATAAGGTGTAGGACTCAAAATCTACTATTTAAGCCCTGAAAAGGCGATACTTGAAGAAAAGACGAAAATTCCCATTCGATGTAATTTGACAGTTGCCAATTGTGAAGATTTTTTATACTAAACAAATATACATGTACTATCGTATCGTCTTTGTATTTCGTAAATGACATTTTTTGTAGATTTAAAGATAAAAGGTTGTTAAATATTAAACAATTTTTATTTTACTCGTATGTGAACTAATGGTTTTTCTTTATTCATTACAACTAATTTACCTTTACTAGATGTAAAAAAACAAATGGAATTGGAAAAAAAAAATTTTTTTCAAAGTCTACATTGTTTTTCAAATGAAATAAGACTTTTTTTAAATAACAGTTACGAGTTTTTCTACTCATTTGAACAAACAGCAAAAGTATATTAATTTCACTTTTTCTAACCAGTTACTTTAAGTATTATTAAACTTATATTTACGTTGATCAAAGTAGTTTAAATAAATTATAAAAGTAATTTAAATAATTTATGTAGTAGAAGTAAATAGTTTATTTTATTTACTTAAATGATTTACTAAAATATTTGATAAAAAATTTAT